GACTGGGCAGTGGGGGTTGGAGACCCACTGGGAAAAGCTGACTGCTATGGTGACCCCTGCCTGTCATCTCTCCTCAGAATGTGGCTTCCTCAGCCACCCTTGACCTTGCAGGAGTCCAGTGTGAGTGGCCAAGGGACCACCATGACAGGAAGCATCCATTCTCCTTAAGGTGAGGGCTGCCCGGGGAGACACTGGCCCCAGGACATGCTGACTCAGCAGGGAGGCCTCCCAAGAGCAGCCAGGGGGCTGGAGCCAGGGGCCTTGCCGGAGGCAGAGTTTGACCCATGGCTGTTGGTGGCAGGCTAAGCAGCAGGCTGAGAAGCTGGCATCCAGCCCTGAGCAGCCAAGCAGGTAGGCTCTGGGGGAGCCCTGGGTGTGGGGGTGGGGCATTGACTCCCTGGTCCTCAAGCTGCTGGTGTTTAATCATCCTTGGAAGTACCTATAGAGCCGTCAAGGTGAGGTTTATTGTCTTTTTGCAAAGAATTCAAGGCCCAGAGAGGGTAAGTAACTTGCTAAAGATCGCACAGCTAATTAGTAGCAGAGGTGGGGCCAGGCTGGATTCCTTGGCTGCCTCCTGGTCCTATCCGCCTCCTGTGGAGTCTGCAGCTCTGACTCCCGAGCCAGCCCGGATCCCCACGGGCTTTTCCAGGCTCTGCTCTGACCCCGGCGCCTTCTCCATCTTTCAAGGCCTCACATACCCTGAATGCACTCCCTTGGGGTGTCATGTAGACAGTGGCCAAGCCCAGCGCTAACAGGAGGGATGCAGAGAAAGCAGCCCCGGGACCCTCTGCACGGAGGGAGTGTGTTCAGGGCATGTCCTGAAGCTGCTGGGGCTCTCCCAGGAGCCCCTTCCTGCTCCCCCGTCTCGCTGGGCTCCTGGCTTCGTTCCTCACACTGTCTGTCCCCCTGGGATCTCCCTGAGATGTCCTTCCAGAATCCCACAGGGACTTGAATCTCCTTCCGACTGAGCCTTTGTTAGCCCGCCAATCTTTAGCCTTCTAAGAGGCGGGATGTGCTCGGGGAAACCGGGTGCATGGCTGTGCAGCACCCCCACATGGACAATTCTCAGTGCACAGGGAGCTCCAGACGCAGGGACATCTTAGTCTGTTCAGGCTGCTACAACAAAAATACCACACGCTGGGTAGGTTATAACCAACATTTATTTCTCACAGTCCTGGAGGCTGGGCAGTCCAAGATCAAGGTGCCGGCAGACTGGGTGTCTGGTGAGGGCGTCTTCCGGTTGCAGGTGGTACGTTCTGACTGTGCTTACATGTGGAAAGGGCGAGGGTGCTCTCCGGGTCCTTTATAAGGGCTCTACCCTCATGACCTAGTCACCTCTCAAAGGTCCCTCCTCCTACTAGTATCACCTTGGGCGGAGGAAGGGGGGTATTCAGACCATAGGAGGGAGCGTGCAGGACTCCGTCTGCAGCTGGCCGAGCATCTAGCCTGGGGCTGACCGGTATTCTCTTGCTCTGCAGCCCACAGTCTACGCCCAGAGCTCAGACCCAGACCTCTGGACTCCCTGGCTGAGTACACGGAGGAGGCGCCCAGCACGGCCACGCCACGCAGGCAGGGCACCTGGGTGTGTGGGTGGGCGTCCTGAGCCTCCAGGACCAGCACAGATGCACCCTCTCGGAGCTGAGACTCAGAGCTGAGACTGCCAGTGGAGGGAGTAACTACGCCACGCAGGCAGGGCACCTGGGTGTGTGGGTGGGCATCCTGAGCCTCCAGGACCAGCACAGATGCACCCTCTCAGAGCTGAGACTGCCAGTGGAGGGAGTAACACCATGTTTGAGACCCTTGACCACCCACCCCATCTGGTGCAAACCCCTGGCTCATTCTCAACTGTGCCAGTAGAATCAGGGTCATGAGGCTCCCTTTCCATAGATCTCATGGCTGTCCCCCACCCTCCTCGCTGAGGGAGACGCCCGTATTCACCGACGGCCACCCACAGCCCTGGGAGCTCCCGCAGGCGGCTCCCACCACCTTTCCTGCTCAGGCCAGACCCGAGGTGCG